ATTAAACATGAAGGAAGAAACTAAGAGCTTAAAAAGATAAGGTAATGAGAAACCAAGTAAGTAAAACTTCAAAAATTGAAAAAATAAAGAATTTTGAATTGGCGGAAGCATTGGAGCTGAAGTAAATCAAATATCATGCTCACCACACCGTACGGGGCAGCACAAACATTAATAAAAGAGGTTAGTACCTTGTTGAATATTTGCTCTCGTATGACATGTACATTATCAATGAAGGTTATTCAGGGTATACCATTTAAAAAACGAAACAGGCTAAATATCCTGATGTCACTTTTATTTTATTAATAATCGCTTGTACACGTTATTTAATTGTGTGGGTGTTTGAAACATTTTCAGCACTAACTTAACCCTCTAGGGGGAGTAGGACCAGCACTTACCATTTCAAATGGAACAGGGGGTCGAGTGATACCTGTTTTAAAAGAGCGTTCAATTTTCTTCCAAATGACATCAAATGAATGAGAATTGAACGCTCTTTTAAAAACAGTATCACTCGACCCCTTTTCCCATATGAAATAATAAGGGTTTGTCCCACCCCGCCTAGAAAGTTAAAATTGAAGTGCTAAAAATGGTTACAGAAAACTTCCCCCTTTGAAAATCAAATTACATGTACGAGCGATTTTTTTAAAAATAAACGTTGTATCAGATATTTAGTCTGTTTCGTTTTAAATGGTACAGTCTGGGGTTTACCCTTACTATTTCAAATGGAACACGGGGTCAAGTGATACCTCTTTTAAAAGAGCGTTCAATTCTCTTTCATTTGTTGTCATTCGAAAGAAAATTGAACACTTTTTTAAAATAGGTATCACTCGATCCCCTGTTCCATTTGGAATGGTTAGGGTTGGTCCCACCTCACCCAGAAGGTTAAGTTAGTGCTGAAAATGTTTCAAACACTCACACAATCAAATTACGTGTACGAGCGAATTTGAAAAAAAAATAAGCCTATACCCTGTATTGTAACTTCTGCCTGATTAATTCGATCGAATCGATCGAGGGGCATTAAAGCGGCAGAACTTGGATGAATGTCTGTACTTCTTGCATACAAAGCACATTGGTCGTTTTTTACTCTATTCTCTAGGTGATAAGTACCTACTTTGGCTTAGTGCCAGTATTTTCATTCATGTTTCTACCATAGTTTTTTTCAAATTTTTGTTCAGATAGGTACCGTCATTTGGGGTGAAGTCGGACGATTTTTGCAGTTTTTTGTTAATAAAATCTACATTTAAAAGAAAAAAAATCCTAAAAAAATAATTAAGAATCTTCCATGTCTCCTTTATCAAATTACTTACTAAAAGTAATGACATTTGCATCCCCCCCCCCCTTTTTTTTAGGTAAGTTGTGTGTCCGCCATCACCCCTATGTGTGGGGGTAAAGGCGGACGACCATTAATTAAGCATAACAAAGTGTCTAAGCCCCTAGTAAGGGGTGCAGTCGGACAGAAAAGATAAAAAAAAAAAATATTTATAGCAAAATATTATAAATTTTAAGTAAAAAAAAATGCGAACATGCAAACGCTATGATTCTTCGTTTTTATTCCCTTTTTCTTGTCATGTAAGGTGGATTTGGGAACCCCATAATACTCAGCGGCTTATCTATACTTTTTCTGCCTCGTCTAATATCTTCGTGTGCTCTAGCGACGTTTTCTTCATTGTAATTTTTGGAATTAATGCCGATTTTCTTCTTATAGCACCTAACCATGGTGTCCGCCTTCCCCCCTATAAAATGACTTTTTTTACTAAAACACCATTATTTAACAAAAAAAAAAAATATTTTTTCACCAAATTGCCATGGGTTTACTAATGATAGAGCACACAACATGTACCAAGTAGGAATCAGTTCAAATCTCATAATGACCATAAAAGACCTTTACGATAAAGCCACGGTTCAGATAAGAGCAACCGAGGGATTAACAAGGCCCTTTCCCATTTCTTCTGGGGTCTTGCAGGGTGAAACTCTTAGTCCTACCCTGTTTAATATTTTTCTGTACGATATTGTCCAGTTTTTTCTGGATCGCGGGGAGGGGGGGTTGAGCATGGACGCTACTAACGATATAACTCTTCTACTGTATTGTGACGACCTTATACTACTCAGCGACTCGGAAATTGATTTACAGAAAAAACTAAATATACTTCAGCAATACGCCAGTGAAAACAATCTTATCATAAATTCAAACAAATCAAAAATAATGTGTTTCAACAGACCAGGACTGCCCTATACAGGTGGGTTCAAATTCTTATTTAATGGGGATCCTCTAGAAGTGGTAAACAAATTTGTCTATTTGGGAGTCGTGTTCACCCCATCGAACTGCTTTCGGATAATGACGGACAATACAATTTTACGTGCATGTCAAGCGGCAGGTGCGGTTATGTCACTAACATCTAAAATAAAATACAATTCATTTTCTGTTAATAAGAAGCTGTTTTCTGGTTCCGTTATGAACTCGTTTAGTAATTGTTTACCAGTCTGGGGGCCTCGATATGCTGATGTCCTGGAGAAGGTTCAGTCCTCGTTCTTTAAGTCCCTTTTAAGGCTCCCAAAGAATACCTCCCATGCCATAATTAGAGTTGAAACAGACAGTCTGCCTCTGTCGTATTTCGTGTTCAAGTCAACGCTAAACTATTTTATTAAACTATTAGGAATCACAGGTTGCCCAAAATTTGTCTAAATCGCCAGCTCAATTTATTTGGTGGTAGTGCCTCCCCTAAGTTTAATTGGGCTTACAGCTTTTACAGATGGTTTCAAGAAATCGGAATAACCCACTTGTGGTCTTTAAATAACATTTCTTTAAAACGTAGTAAACCAGAGATATTAAAACATTTTCGTGAAAGATGTTTGCAGACCGACTATCGAGTGGCACGAAATTCTACGTATACTTTGTTTTATAGTCAATTTGATTTAAATAAGCATTCGTTGAAGTACCTTTATTCTGACTGTGCTTTTTACATGATCAGAGTTATTACACAAATACGACTTTGTTCGAGTTATAACTGCAATATATTCTGGAATGGCATAGCTTATAGAATTAATCAAGAAGAACTCTGTTCGGTTTGTAACCTAAGAGTGCCTGAAACATTTCTTCACGTTCTCTTTGAATGTCCTTTATATCGTAGTGTTAGGCCGGCAGATTGGGGTGATATACCGAATTTTGCTCATAATTTGGACAATCTAAACCCTCAACTGGTGAGGGTTATTTTCCAAACCGTTACTAGTATTCTTAAACTTAGATCGTTCTTAAGAAATGAATAGACCTATTCTTTAGATTTTAATTTTATCTTCCTATTCTCCTCGTACCTGAATTATTATAGAGTATTATTTTTTGTTCTTTTTCAATTTCAAATTTGGGTTTACATATTTAAACGTGTAGCTTATAAGTATGAGAAATGTAGCATTACTTAGATTAAGTTTATTATTGTGCAGAACCTACTGTTATAAGAATGTATATTCTTTCTAAACAATAAAGAATTGATTGATTGAATTGATTGATAGAGCACACAACAAATAATAGCTCATTTGAAGTACATAGTTTCAATATTCCCTAGTGCCCAACAGTTTCTTTTTTGGTTTTCAACTTCTAAGAAAACAAGAAAATTTTTGAAATTCTGACCACGTGCTCTACGGCGAATTTTTCCAGCAAAAATGCACCACTCTCAACGACACTCGAGCTAAACTAAGCGGAATATGCTGGTCGGTGGATATTTTGGGTGTCTCGATACCCGATATCGTAAAAAACGCCGGCCAATACCTGTCTGTCCGAGTTCACCCCCACAGTCCGACTTCACCCCAAATGACGGTACCTACTTTCGAATTTTGCCTTCTTTTCATTTTTGTGCTGGTTCTATTCTAGAATTACTACTTTCCTGAATGCCTCTAATGAATGAAGGAGATCATCTCTACCATGATGAATATTGCCTGATGTTACCCAATGCTCTCTCAAATAGTCCAATAAGAATTTTCTCCAGGGGTTCTTGAAATGAAAACTTCAGGTCTTTGAATAATTTACTCTTCTCGTGCTCGCTTCTGTTTCTTTCTCGTAATCTGGTCTTTATTTTCCTACATTTTTTCGTTGTTCGATATTCAATACTAAGGTCCTCCTCCTATCAGATGCATATGGATGCATTCTTGCAGTTTCCAGAATGAATGGTTAAGGTAATTCAAGTAGTTTTTGCGTATTTTTACGTTGTGAAGTGTGGCATAACTTGATAATTTTATCCTTTTTTTTGAAGTTTATGTGGTCGATGCGAATAAAATTCTGTGAAAAGGGCGTTCCATCTGCTGCATATGATCTGGTATATTTTCAGGCTATAAAATTCATTAGTGATGCTATATATGGTATTATAATTCCACATGTTCTCAATTGTATTATTTATCGTCTTCAGGGTCTAACTCGTCTTGTGTTCCTTTCAAGGCGGCATTTTGCAATGCTAACTTTGACATACTTCCAGGAATTATAGTAACGATATTCTTCAACAATGGGTTTAAGTTCTAAAAATGTTGTTTTGGTCACGATTTTCATATTTTTTTTACTTTTGTGGGTTATTCAAATTATTTATCTTGCAAACTCTCACACTGAAACGCGAAAACAATATTACACCTCCCAAACATTGTTGGAAAATGGAAACTTCTCGTATTAACCGAACATTCAGACGCTATCTGAATTACTGACTTTTTTATACCCTATATTTGGATAAGTCTAACATTATCCAGGCAAGATCATTTCCACACATACCACGTGCAAATTTGGTGCAAAAATGTCTGCTGCTAGTGCTACTACTGATCTCGACATTGGTTAACACAAACGGAAATCGACATTGGGTTATTGGGTAGGTACATTCCAAGTCAGCTGAGGCATCGGCATACTTAGAACGCAACATTCAGTATATTTTCTAAAATAAAGGATAGAACAGGCAACAACAATTATTGTTTAGATTTGACCAATTGACTTTCTTGTGTGGCTAATGAAAGTAATATATTATTAAAAAGCTCACCTGTATCTTAAAATAATTACACTGGCGCTAACAATAGTATAAGCCAACAAAGTTCCAATTGACATAAACTCTACCAACTTTTCCAAGTCAAACAATAAGGCGATTAGTGCTGATGATAGCCCGGATAGCACCAAATTGACTAGAGGAAGCTGAGTTTTGGTATTTACGTTCCCTAGGAAAGTTCAATTACAAAAAATTTAACACGCTAAATCAAGCTTACCAAGAAATCCAAAAAGCAATCCATCAACTGCCATAGCGTACATACATCTGGGCAAAGAAAAAAGTGACCCAAACAGGGTAGTAGTCATGCCACAAATTGCACCTAATGACACTACGTATTTGATCCAGTGTTGCCCCACATTTGAGAAGGCATCTGGAAGAGCTGCACTAAAAGTCCACAAGATAAAATGAGTAAGTTTACACTACAAATTCTTTATTTACTTTGGATTGATGTCATAATATGGAACCAATAGCGTCAAAGCAGCACTAACTAATACGTATCCAAGTGTAACTATGCACATGGAAATAATTGTAGCCATTGGTATAGAAAACGATGGATTTTTGGCTTCTTCTCCTGATGTTGCTATGCTGTCAAAACCGACAAATGCATAAAAACACGTTGCGGCACCTAGAATCATATTATACTTGTAAACTTTAGAAAACTATGGTTGAACCAAATCCAAGCGGCAGTAAATGACAAACTGGTCATTTCCTCCATGCATGCGCACCGGTTCACGGTCCAGGTAGGGCGTTTCAACCAATAGGAAGGCTGGTGTTTGTTTACAATTTAGGTTATTAAATGTCATTTACTGCCGCTTGGATTTGAAAATGGTGTAGATAGGTTGAAGTGTTACCTGCAATTACACCACCAAATCCATATGGCAAAAATCCGCCTCTTTTGGACCAGTTATCATCATTTGCGTAATACAGCCCCATTACAATGACTAGAGCCATCACAGACAAGTTAATTATGGTCAAAAAGCTGTTTACCATGGCGGAACCCTTCACACCAATACCTAAAAAAATTTTAGGTAAGTATTCAATTTAAATCTCTGTCCAAGATTAAACATCACTATGAGATTTTTTTGGAGAGATTTAAAAAAATCTGCTGATTAAACTATATATCGTCTGATGTGCCGGGTAGTGCCCTTCAAAGGATCAACGGCAGAAAATTTTTAAATATTTGTCATCATACATTTTTCTTACCTAATAAGAGCGCATATACCAAACAAACAGTAAAAGCTAGAAAATCCGGATATTTTCCCAAAAGTTGCTCGTGCATTTCTCCAGTAATCCCCAAAGTAGTATTACTGATCACCCCTCCAAAAAGCGAATCTACGTAACCGCTCCAGGCCCTTGCCACCGACGCAGCACCGATCATATGCTCCAAAAGTATGTTCCAACCAATTACAAACGCCCAAAATTCGCCGATGCTTATGTAGGTGTACACGTACGCAGAACCGGCTTTAGGCACTCGGGTTCCGAATTCTGCGTAGCATAGAGCTGACAGGAGACAAGCGAAACCCGCTAAGAGAAATGATACGATTATTCCAGGACCGGCCATGTCTTTGGCTACTGTGCCTGTTAGCACGTAGATGCCGGCTCCAACCATATGACCCACTCCTGAAACAATAATACATCATAATAGGATTAAACTTTACAATGGTTCACAGTTGTTTGTTGAGCACGATCCTGGACAATCCTAGTATTATGAGTACTTTATTTGTTCAAACAGCAAGTGAAACAAACAACTTCGAGATAGTGTGATTCATTCATACATATAATAAAAGCATTAAAAACAATCATGATAGAGCGAGAAGTTCAAGAATTGCGGTATCTGGTTCCACAATACGTGATACGTGTCACAAGTAGCATCAACGAAGCGGAATCCGAAATAGGAACTTTGAATAATGCATTGTTACGTAATTATCACTTAAGAAACAACATTCTTATAGTTTTACCTACTTTTATCTACACAATTTTCAATCTACAAGAAAAATAACTTAAAAGTCGCGAAGTCTTTTTAAAGTAATTTTCGATAGTCCCAGTAACTTTGCCTTGTTATTCTTATATCACTTCAAAGTTTCCATTACTTTATGCTATAATAGCGTTCAAAGTAACTACGACGTCGTTACTACTCTTAAAATGCCTTCAAAGTTATGGAACTAAGTACATAGTAATATTTAAGGGAAAGTTAACTGTCTCGCTACTCACGAAAACTACTTCACAGTAATTTTTAGTTCCCACTCTCTCGTCTCTATCTTAAAGTACCACAAAATTGAAAAAAAAAACACTAACACAGTAACGGTCACTTTATAAGTACGAAAAAATGTATACCCATTATCGGCAATTCTTTATTCTTTTTATTTCTATAATGCTTTTATTAATTGAAGGGTAAAGTTCCAACTGGAACTTCATAGTGACAATATGAACTTTGAGATGGTTTTTCAGTTATCACGACTAAAAAGTTTGAAATATCTTCAAGAAATATTCTACCTAATGGTAATGATGACTTCAAAGTGATAAAGTGTAGTGGTCACTTGCAGTAAAGTTGCCAATTCTTCAAACACACATTAGGTATATGTAGTAAATCCTACTTTGAAGTAATTTCTGAAAAAGGCGCTATATTTACTGACAAAATGTAGAACGAGTTTCTGACCAACTAGCATGCTGTTCAATTTTGTGCGGCTACTATGTTAATTGTAAAAGTGTAAATGACTTTTTCCTATTAATTGTTGTAAGTGAATGTTGATTTTTTTAAAAATAAATCTCCTTGATTATGCCCATTTAATGTAAAACGCGTCGCGGTATAAATTAGTCTACTTTTATTTTAACATTCATAAAAATATCGTTCAAGCAAAAACAAATAAAAAATCCTGTCCTATTTTTAGCCGAAGACATTTCCGATTCATTGTTCTATCATCACATTTAATCCATAAAACTTACCAAGGAGAGTGATGTCGAAAGTATTCAAACAGCGATTCAGCGGGGTTTCCATTACGTCGGATGGCAGCTGTTTTGTTCGATTCATTTTCGTGCAAATTCCAGACATGACGTGTTTGAGGATCATTTTTCTGGAGCCTGGCATTTTGTTGGTTTTTATAAGCGAGTTTTCTTGTAAGAGGGCTGGAAAAGAAGGTCACAGATAAAAACGTATGCTAAGCTAAGTGATTTTAAAAGAAAATTGATAGTGGCTTTTTTTAATTCAGGATTTATTTAAAACGCCTTCTTGTACTATCCTAGAAGCAGGGGAGGATATTCTGCAGTTCTGCAGTACAGTAATGCCAGTTGCAGTTAAATTTGATAATATTATAGATTAATAAATGTCTTAAAGTATTGAAAAATTGTCTGAATCAAGTTTGCAGTTTTTGGGATTTTCCATTGATTAATTGTTTTAGTAGAAACTAGAAGTAATAACAAAGTTGCAGATGAAAAAGTACTTGGCTTTAAGTTAGAAACATTGAATCGAAACAACTTGTACAAAAGCCTGAGGTTTCTCGTTTTTGTAATAGAGCTAGAGAGCATCTTAGTACATCAAGGAAATTAAAGAGCTGGGCGGTGAAGAGCTGATCTACAGCAGATCCACAAAAATACTGCCCTTGACTCTTTCCTGTTACCGAGATCTGACGGCCCCTAGAATCAAGCTCATAGAGGGTAGGTACCGGGCCGAGGAATATTATTAGCGGAGCGGCCTATCCACGATGACCAGGGGTCAACACCAACCAGAAGTGTGGAGGATCTGGTGAGATAGTGCAGGACGATTGAGACTCGGCTGATCATCGGTTGCGATGCGATCACCACACAGTTTTGGACAGTACCAATATCAACAATATAGGTGATTCTTCACAACACGATATCACAGCAAGTAATTTAGATATAATCAATGTAGGAAACGAACCTAACTTTATTATTTCAACTAGGAAGGAGGTGATTGATATGACATTAGCCTCAAACCATATAAGCAATTACGTCACAAACTGGCACGTATCTGATGAGGTAAGTTGTTCGGATCCCAGGCACATAACAATTTGAAATTTCAGGCTGAACTGCTGAACAGTTGTAACAACTCATCGGAACCCTGAAATGCAGGCTGGGACGCATACAAAGCTGGAAAGGAGTACAGCCTGCCGAACACCAGAAAGACAAAGACACTGAAGACTTGGAGATGGTTCTGGATCAATTTTATGATGCAATTGTCTCAGTCTTCGATGAGAGTTGCCCACTTACGACAAGAAAATCCACCAGAAATGTACCACGATGCAACGAGGACCTTGCAAGCTAGGACAAAAGTCAACGAAGTTATAGAAACGGGCCAGTGGGAGATATGTATATCTACGTTGTAGAAGTTCAACAAAGAGATATGGATATCTAGGAGAAGGTATTTTAGAAACTACTGTGCAAAAATGAATATATTGGTGCATCTCCCAATTTATTCAATTGCCTATTTTTAAAATTTGATCCCCCTGGAAAAACTACGACCTACGCCCCTAAGCTGCTACTATGGAGTATTTTTTAGGGTACTCAAGTCACTCAGAATGCCAAAAAATATCATAGGAAATTGCAGAATAAAAAAGTCCCATACTTTACAATTTTCTTGATATTAGCGATTTTAACAAAATTTTGTTTTAAAATTGAAAATTTGGCCGCCATTTTGAAAATTTTATAGTTATAAAAAAAATATGGTTTAAATTAGCTTCAGCGATATCAAATCAATATAAAATGACCTATTAGGCAATTCAATCCATCTGTCAAAAAGGAAAATTCAATGTGGCGTGGCGGCCAAGCAAGTTTGTTTTGAATATGTTTTTATGCGTATCTTAAATTATTTTGCATACTGTTTTGCTTACAACTTTGATTTTCAATATTTAATGAAATATTTGTTGACTAGGTACCTAATCTATTAATTCGGGCAGAAACTAGATATTTTTTTGTGTTTTTTGGCCCATGTGTGGCCGCCACGCCATCTTGAATATCACGTGGTTTGAATTGCCTAATTACTCGCTCGCATTGGTTATTATATTCAATTTATTTGCAAATTCATCCTTCGAGTATACTCTGCCCTGAGCTGCTTCATAGGGGTAGTTTTTTGGGTACTGCGGGCGAAATCTCTTAATTTGACCAATTCATGGTGACTACCAAGTTTCTTGCTTTTAACACAATTTGCAGGGTTTTGGCCAGAAATGTCGTTAACCGCTAGGACTATTACAGAAAGTTGAGGCTTATATTATTGGTAGGCCACCACTCAAATGACAAACCATAGAATGCAAGCCAACAGAAATTACCAATGTGCAGCACCCGGCCTATGGTAAATATGATTGTGAGTAGCATGGGTGATAGTGATACACATATGGCAGCCAGCGTGTTAAAAAGAATGTCATTCACTTGATAACGACTGTAGTTTTAGAAACTAGGAATGTTGTCACCATAGAAAAGTGATTTATAAATTCTTAAATAGAACATTCACTGGATTCATCCCCTTCACATTTTGTTTTAGTTCGTGACTACACCGCTGTGCGCCCATATCGCCGTTTCTCGACGTCAGCCGGTTTAAGAGTTGTTGCCACAGTGTGTGAGGCGGCAAAAAATGAATCTGCCAAAAGCGGATTGCAGCCACAGACCAGGGAAATCTACATCAAAAACAACACAGAAACAGAAATTTTGGTTTTATTGGAGATAAACAACCTAGAAATCGTGTCACTGTATGATGCTCCGTCATTTGCTCCATACATGCTCGAGGGAATTATAAATAACTTGATGAAATATCACAGCCTTTTAACTGGAAAAATGGACATTTTTAAAAAGCAAATTGGAAAGTGTTTCAGTTAGCTCATGAGTCAGATACGCCAGATCATCTATGGATAGGTGATAGACTATTTTATTCATTAAGTGATTCTCACATAAATACATGTATGAAAATAAAATGTATAAAATTTTAGTTTATGAAGTTTTGAAACACTGCCTTATTTTGAAATAATTGAAATGTCAAACCAGTCATTTAAAACCGAGATTCAAACGGCCCGCCAAATAATATAAGTTCAATGACTACACCGCTATGGCAGCACCGTCGGAAATGTCATTTGGCGACTACAACAGAAGTGAGCGTTCTATATCAACAATATAAATCACTTTTCTATGGTTGTCACCCCCACCTCTATATGAATTGCCAAAAATACACAAAGACGGAACACTTCTGTTAGAAAGTAAAATACGGGAACAGCGGCAACCGCGTGCAAATTTGAATCTACTGACAGTACGCAACAGGTGAAAAGGAACGACGAAGAAAGGGCGAGCAACGGCAACAGAAGAAGAAAAAGAAAAGAACATTTATTGATTTTTAATACGTTGACTTGACGTTCATGTTGTATTGTATGGACTCTCTTGATATAATTTGAGAAGAATGTACCTGTTTTAATTCCAATCATTAATTAATGTTGAATAACAGCAAATTTCTTTTAATAATTAATAAAATACTTTTGTCTGCGTCGATTAATAATACAGTCCACTCTATCGAAGAGGTACACCAAACCAGAACAACTTCAACCAATCACGAGCTCGAGGGACCCATCAACATATAACTCAGCAAAGTTCCTCCTGTCTATAATAAAACCGCTGCAAAATAACAGCATTTCATTTGTAAAAGATTCCAAGAGCTATTAATATTTAGTTGGAGGACTTAGTCTCGTGAGTTCAGATGTGGAAAATCTATACACAAACATACTCATTACACGAGACAATGAATATATCCAAAGGAGAGCTAGAAAAAGATGACACCCTAATCGAGAGATCTAGGTAATATACTAATAAAGCGAGTTATCGCCCTATTGAGATGTTGCCTAGACAATTCCCACTTGAGTAATGTTAAATTATTTTTCTCCCCCAGAAGGATGGACTTACCATGGGCTCACCACTGCCTCCTATATGGTACATAGCTAAGAGCCTTCATAAACTGGCAACTGAATTTGTGAAAGACCAAGCATAAAGTTCACAATGCGAAAGGAATCATAAAGATTAAAGTCAAGACAGGATACTATTCTTTGAAGATATGACAACCGGACCAATACAAAAAGAAGGAAAACCACCATATCAGAAACAGCTCAACATAACATATAGGTACATGGTACATAATTAACACAGAATACAATCATTAGACGCAAAAACAATTCTTAAAGCACAGAACAACATAGGACAAAAAGGATGTTCCAAGACGCAAGCATAAGTCCTAGAATTTGGAAACCAATCCTGGACAACATCGCACCTTTTACATTATAAATTTCTCAGAATAGTTTCATCCTTTCACTTCATTTTCATTTCAATGTACTTTATAATTATTAAATTCTATAATAGCTCAGTATAACACGCCATTTCTAGGGAACCCGGATAATGGCTATTGCTTCTACACATCCCTCTTTTTCTTTTCGCTCAGCCAAAGAATGTCCAGGTATTTTGAGATCCAAAATAATGGCGGTATAGCTAATTCAATGCTTTACCACCTGTCGTTTGGCGTACAAACGCCTGCTAAAAACTGGCTTCACTTTAGCAGAATGCTACTCCAACTTACCCGAACTGCTCTCTGATGCGCCATCTATAAACCCCGTATAACATTACACCTGTGTGTATTTTTTATATTTCTACATGTATTTATACAGATGAAAAAATAAGTGAATTTATACATGCATTAATACATGAAGAAATATAAAGAAAATAGACAGATGGGCTTAAGAAAAAAAATACTAACCTCAAACAATTTTTTATTTAAAAAAATTAATTTTTTAAGACTCAACTATTTCAAAAAGCGATATTTGGTTTGATCGTCCTACATCCTTCTGGCCTCTGTATATTATTAAAGATTTTCCATCCATAAACTGCTCAATATGATCTTACAATGATTTGGTGGTACGTTTTGGAAGAAACACTGCCTTATCGTCAAGTTCCATGAGGATGCTCGGTCCGAATTTACTTTGGGTTTTTTTAGCAGAAAATATTGGGTACTTTCTGCCAGGCTCCATGTCTTGTAATTTCACAAGTGTTTTTTGATCCTTGAAGAGGCAGGTCTCGTTGATTGATTTCAAATCCATATCTAAAAAATATTCTGTAGGTATTGATATTAGTATATAATAGATTTACTT